TTTGCCTGGCTATCTATTGTTTGAACAAAGATATGTTGCAGATAAAGCTTCCACTACCTGCTCAAGAAAAAAAAACTGATAATGGGTAACTTTCTTTGGATTGTTTGGATTGAAGCCAGCAATTTACTCCAGGACTGGGGGTGGTGGGGTGGAATCCCTCACTGCCAGCAATGACTCCATTCCATTGGCTGAGTTGAGAGATGATTGACATTATGCTATAGTGAAACTTGGCCAGATCACCTGTTGGTTTAGCAGCAGCGTGTAAGGAGGTTAGATGGAAAGTGAAGTAAACAGGCAAACAATTCCTCAGACTCTTAGAGAAAGAATGTGTACACAGGAGTGTGCTCAGCAGTGGAATATTGTTCAGCTCTGTGAACTATTGTATGTCCAGTTACTGCTTGTACATATGGCTAAAGCATTCCAATTTAAGTATGCGTTACTAACCCATGGAGCTACTTACTTCACCTATGTCTCTAGGTAAGCAAATAATAGCTGGCGATGTCAGAATTAAAACTACCACACCCACTGAAACGCCCATTTCAATCTATTATGTTCTCCTCCCATCTTTTCAACAGAGGAGGAAAATTAAACAGCAGCAACAAGAGTTTTGGATTTCATCATTTTTGTACTTTTTATAATGTTGACAGTTAGCATTCACCATACAAACAGTGGATGGGTTAAAGGAGAAGATAATTTGACATTTTATTTATTTTTATTTTATTTATGTCCCACGTTATTATTTTTACAAATAACTCAAGGCAACAAACATATCCAACTCACCTTCTTCCACCTATTTTCTGCATAACAACGACCCTGTTAGGTGGGTTGGGCTGAGAAAGAGTGATTGATACAAAATCACCCAAATGGCTTTCATGGCTAAGACAGGACTTGAACTCACAGTCTCCTGCTTTCTAGCCAGGTGCCATTTTCGTTTTTTTAAACTGTTAAATTACTAGCATGAACTGCAAAAGTGTCCTTATGATTGTCTGAAAATTTAAGCTCTTAAATAAACGGGAGGGGATTTTTGATAGTGTGTATCAATATATGTATACAGCATATCAACTTCTACAAAGAAACCATGTGACAGTCAGCATTTTTCATGTTAGGACTTTTTTTTTAAAGGAATTTTTAAAAATTAGGATTTTTTAAATAAATTAATATGATACACCCTCCTTTCACTGCTCCTGTCTGCAGTATTACAATGCAGTCTACATAGAGCTACCCTTGAAGAGTATTTACAAGTTTCAGCAGGTACAGAATGTGGCTGTGCAAACAATTTTGGGCACCCCGAGAATGGCAATGTAATACCCTGAAGGAGACGGGCAGTCTATTAACATGCAATGTAAATAAATAAATACATACATGCCATACATACATACCTTTGCTGCATGAGCTGCATTGGATCAAAATTTGCTTCTACGTTCAGTTCAAGGTTTTGGTTATGCTATGGGACCAAATTATTCAAGCTACCACCTTAACCCTATGACGTCAGCCCATCAAACCCAGTCAGACCCCGTCAATTAAAGAATTTTGACTGGCGAGCTCCAGGAATATCCTCCCCCTCCCCCAAAGGTTGGGCAGGTCCCCACTCTCCTAGCCTTTCGAAAAAGTCTGAAGACCTAGCTTTGCGAACCTTCATGGGTCTCACAGAGGGTGTAGTTAGTGCCATGAAGGTCTCCCTCCACCTTTTAACTTTTAATTAATTTAATCCTTGTTTTACCTGGATCTTTTTCCTGATGCATTATATCTTTATTTATGTATTGTGTCTGAGAGTGACTACATTTGATAAATAAATAAAACAAATCTAAAAGACATGTATACGATTCTTCTTTCTCTCCCCCTTGGCCCTATTATTATTTACAGAACAATTTGGCTAAATTTAGAAATAATGACTGGCTCCAAGTCACAGTTTCTTGGGCAAACCATGACTTCAGCTTGTCTTCTTTTCTAAGTCTAATCAAACTGGTAACAGAATAAACAGAGAAGGGCAGGTAAATGTAAACAATGCAGCAGGTGGAGTTATGTAATGATGCACGCAGGAGGTGGAATTATGGAAAAGGTTCAAGCAATAACCTTTGGAATTTAAACTGAACTGTTATAAGCATGTTCTGTCTTTATTTTTGAAATGCTGGAGGGTAAACTTTATTAATAGAGTTAATTGTTACAAGAGTATCAATTACAAAAATAGGAACTGTCTTTATCTCAGACAGAAGAATGTTTCAGCAGTTTAATAAGTACAAAACTACTTAGAAAATGACCTGGTTTCAAGGGCATTGTGTATGAGAGTCACTTTCCTGTGTGACATGGGCAGCAAATAACTTAGGCCACTGTTATATTGCTACAGATGAAAAGCTGTAAATTGTATCACACACAAACACACACACACCGAGACTCATCCATAGGCATAGATCAGACATGTCAAACACAAGGCCCGGGGGCTGGATGCGGCCCGCGAAGTGGTTTCATGTGGCCCACAAAGCCATCCTGGAAACAGTGAGGGAACAGCCCCTGTTACCTTGGCCCTGGCCCAGGCTGGCCGGGAGCCAATGTACAATTTTGTGGTGGCCATCTATCCTGAAACGCATTCAGTCTTACTTCCACAAGGCCGTCTAGAAACAGCGAGGAACCAGCCCCTGCCGTGTCGGCCCCACCCCCTGGGTGCATGCTGGGGAGGTGTCACCCTTTGTGAGGAATGAAGAAATGGACCGTGCCTTGGCGCTTGCCCCGGTCCCACCCCCTTCGCCAGAGACCCTCAGATCTGTCCCACTCCTGCCCAGGCCCCCACAGGCACCCTTGATGCGAACAATGTAGAGCTGGCCACACCCACCCAGTAGGCCACGCCGACTCCATCCACGCCCACCCAGTAGGCTGCACCCGCCCTGGCCATACTCACCCGGCCCCCCCGAGGGCAACCGCAATGCTGATGCGGCCCTCAATGAAATTGAGTTTGACACCCCTGGCATAGATGATCAAGGTAGAAAGGACAAACCAGTATGAAAAAAAATGAAAAACACTATTTTCAGAAGTTTATTGAAATATTTTACTACCATATAGCTTTAACATCAGAACATCTAAGGATGATTAAGCCCATCCTACTCAGGTCTGGAGATAAGATGAAAATAATATCATGGGGACAAAGCAGAAAAAACATGTTGCTGTAGTAGGTTTTTATACCATTATTAAGTTCAAGTGAGAAAAAGTTTATACAATTTAGTGTAGCAGGCTATCCTTAATATCTAAGTCGGCATTATTCGGGACCTTTTCTGATCTAGGAAAATATAAATTCCAACACATGGAAGTCTGATATTTTTTTGAACCCAGCTCCCCCTCCAAAAAAACCTACTCAGAATATTGGGGTGGGAACTGGGTCCAGTTTTTCCTTAGTTTCAGTTTAGTTTTAAAGCCAAAGTCTCCTAAAAACAGATAATATTTTTACATAGAGTATAAAAAGTAAGTGGAAAGCATTTTATTTTCCATTCTTCTGTAAACCAATCGTTCCAACTGCTTGCAACGATTTGTACAATATTATGTAAATAAAACCAATCTATACATTGGGAGAGGGCGACTCTACCAGATGCTTGTTACAACAGTGCATAGCGAAAAGAAAGGTAAGCCAAGATCGCTGGAACTGGATAGGAAACAAAAGCAGGATCTACCTGAGTTCTTTCTTTTTTTTTTTTAATGGTTCCTTAGAAAATTGCTCTTCAGTTAGGGAAAGGATATGAAGCTGAAGTTTGAGAGTTAGATGGCTATTGTCCATGTAGTTAAGCATTATTTAATCTCTTCTGACAAATGCATCACAGAAATCATAATTCTTGGTCCAATAAATCAACCGAAATATTGCAAAACTTTTATTTGGGATGTTTTGGATTTCAACTTCCATATTATTTTGGCCAGGACTACCAAATTTGGGCTCCAAGAATTCAAATAACCATTAGATGGGAAAAGAGAGATAAATTAACTCCTTGCCTCTCTCTCTCTCTCTCTCTCTCTCTCTCTCCCTCCCTCCCTCCATAATCTGAGCACTGGTTAGCAATTGACTCAGGTATAAAAGAATAGCTGGAACCTTTATATATATATTTTATATTTAAGTTTATTATTGTATATTAGAGTTAAAGTATGTTAATTTTGTTTGTATTATGAATGGATAGCTTAATTTAGACTTGGGATGTTATGTATTTATCCCTGTACTCAGTTCTGGGAAGTCTGGGGGGGGGGAGGGAGGGGAGAAGGGGATGAAGGGGTAGAATTATAAAAAAAATTGGTGTATTTATAAATGTAATGTAAATGTTTGTCTTTAAGAAGAGGAGATGATCGGCTAGTACCCCTAAACTGCATCCGAGGTGGTGGAAAAGCAGGTGATGGGATGTGTAGGATAGTTGGGAAGGAGGAAAGAGGAGAGGTTGTGGTCAAGAGGGGGAGGAAGGAAGAGGGAAGTAGGTAGGAAGGTGGAGGGAGTGTGGATGCAGGGGGGGGGGACCGCCGATTATTTCTGAATACCTAACGAGTAGGCTTTTTATGTGTTTGTTTTTCTAATGAAATGCACCATATTTGTATTATTTGTTTATATGTTTATTTGAAAAAATTAAGAACCAATTAAAAAAAAAAAAAAAAAAGAACAGCTGGAACCCTCGAAAGAAAAGGTTGGTTTTGTGACTAAATTTTTATTATATTTTTATATTTTTAAAACGGTGTTTGTAGGGTTTTTATCTGTTTTTAGCTTGCTGTAAGCCGCCCTGGGTCCGTCAGGAGAAGGGCGGGGTATAAATCTAATAAAATCAAAATCAAATCAAAATCAAAAAAAAAAAAAAAGAGTCGCTAATCTAAGTCTAATCAGGGAATATCCTCACCCAACGGCTCGTTGTACAGAAGGGCCAAGGAGAAAAGTTGGATTCCCGCCCGCCCTAAACGTGAAGGGCCCCGCCTCTCCCTTTCTCTGCCCCCTGTTCCTCCTCCTCCTCCTCCCTCTCTCCCCTGTACGGGGAAGCCGAGAGACGTCAGGCCGGACCGGAGATTAGCAGGCGCTTTAAGTGGATTAGAAAGCGGCAGAGGCGAAGAGAGGAGAGGCGAGCCGAGAAGTTGGGTGTCGGAGGCAGGCGCCCGCTTTGCGAGTCGCTTTTCAGCCGGCGAGCCGGGCGCGCTCCCTCGTCCCGCTTTTTCCTTTCGGCTTGGAAGAGCCCCCGCCATGCCCCAGACAGTGGCTCTGAACGGTCCTTCGCCCTGGGGGTTCCGCCTGGTCGGAGGGAAAGATTTTAGCACGCCGCTGACTATTTCCCGGGTAAGTGTGAGGAAAAGCCGCGTCTCTCTCCCCTCGGTGCGCTGGCGGCGGCGTGTGTGTGTGTGTGTGGGGGGGGGGAGGTTTGAGAAGCGCCTCAGGCGACGGAGGCGGGAACTGGCACTTTTCGGCACTCGTGTCGTTGCGCCGTCTCGGGCAGACTGG